AGTGCAATATGATATAATGTGTAGAATCGCTTACTTTACAATATAATTTACTTTCAAATGGACTTAATTAAGTGGAAAAAGATTTAATCACCGTAATAATTAATGGGAGACCACAGTGTAGGATACACATTAGTATTAAGAAGTATTATTGTTAATTACCTAGAATTTACACCCTTTATAATTTAAATTTGGTACTTTAGGTAGAATAGTAGTGAGTTAGCAGAGGAAATCAATTTTTGACTTTGAAATTATTGGAATCACTTCAACCATACCACCTCGAATGTTTGGTTGTGAAAACGAGGTTTGAAGTTATTTTGAGCTATAACTAAGCACACACGACATAATTAAGATTTATTAGCGCTGATGCAAGAATGGTTAAAACTCGTTCTGATGGAGAGAATATATATTCAATTTTCTACCAGAAAATCGGGATGTTGTTATGGATATCCAGATAAATGCACGTCACACATAAGTCAGATAAGAAGATTTTGAGTTCAAACTCGGTAAATAGGTCAGAATTAAGGTCTAATTGTGCCTTTTCACTGAAAAGTAAGATATTTGAATATGAGGGGAACCTTCTTTGAATGAAGTTCCTGTTACATTTTCAAACTTTTCTGTAAAATTTTAATTTTTTGTAATTTTTGCTCGATTAGAAGTGCCTTAAGTATGAAACAGTTTTATTTTTATTAAAACATCTGATATTTAGAAAATTGCAAACTATTAATATTTAAAACAGTAAATATATATTTTAATTTTTTCAGGGGTTTCGTTCAGAAAGAAGCTGAATAAAATTTCGCAATTCTTAGTTTAAATGACAAGATGGGGACCTCATATCTTCCAATTAACCGGTTTTATATGAGTAGTAGTTTTCTTATTAACACTAAATTGATATGAAATTGTGAAACTAATTTAATGAACGCCGTTATTTGTTCAAAGCGGCGAGTGGTCGTGAAGAACGTTTTCAAGATCATGGACTGCTGCTTTTTAAGATGGCTTTGCAAAGCTTATGAGAGTATGAGGTTAGAATTAGCGAATTGAAGATAGTGTTTTTCAAAACGAAGATTGACGATGTTGCAACGCGATTACCAGCAATCCTCGGCCACATTTGTAGTTTCACAAAAAAATTAAGTGATTTCAACAACTTCTATTGCATTTTGTATTAAGTTACGGTGAACAGTAGGATTTCGTAGCCATATTTCCTACATGTACAGATCTTGGTAAATAAAAAACATTTCAATCGCGTTTTCAGAAACATGTTCAACTCTGATCCCGCAATGAATAGTGGTTGTATTGTTCCACTCCTCCATTTCAGTAGTTATTGAGACTCAATACTGAACTATGTGAAACAATGTTTTAAGGGTTTTATATTTTCCATATAGGGAGATGTAGAACTTTTCAACTTATCTACGGCGATGTCCTCCTCCACGTATCTAATTTTCCGCGTGTATTCTTGTTTCATAGAAATGTTAAGATACGTCACAACTTTTCAAGCGGTTTTTCAACCTTATCGATTCTTATTATGGATCTCTTCTTCACAATTAAATTTCATTTTGTATCTTTATATGATGTCATGCATATTTTGTAAAAAATCCGAGTAATAAATAAGTAATAACATTAAGAGTAAGAAAAGTTTTTGTATACCCTTCATTGTAAACAGTTCCTAGATGACCTCTTTTTGCATGTATATAAATCGAAAGAAATTGGAATGTGACATGAATGTGATTTTCCACGAGTTTGTGATTCCCTATATTGAAACTAGTTGTGCCCATTTTCAGTCCAATGAATAAGCGTCAATAATATTTTGTTCGATATAGAATAGATATTGAATAGAATTATTGATAGAAATCAAGTTTTAATTTATCTAAATCTATTTAATTCATACTTACCTCACTGAATAACGGGATAGGACGTTGTTCTGATGATGAGGAATTTTCCAAAACTTCAGAGAAGAGAACAGAGAAAAATAACTACGTGAATTGAAATATAGGTCGTAAAACGTGGTAATTTTTAGAATAGTTAATTCAGTGTTAATTGGGGCCAAGTAAGTAGAGACGACTGTCTTTAGATATGACGAGAGAATATATCAATTCCTCATTTGTGATATAAGCTCAACCTTTTTCACAACGGTGCAATTATTCCGAGTTTTATCAAATTTTATGAATCGTTTTAGAAACGTTCTTCTCAGTTGCTGCAGATGCTTCGGATTAATTAGGTTTCAGGCAACTGAGATCTTGATACTTGACACGTCACGTGTCCATTTAATGTTTTATGCAAAATAAGTTAAGATAAATGTGTCTTTTTCAAAATTTGTGTCTATGAACTTCCTTATTTCGCAACCACCAATCTTATTTAGCCAACAGATTTACATTTTGTTCGCATTACATTTTTCTGCAGTTTTACGATGATTAACACAACTCTGTTAGTGCCACTATCTCCTAAAATGATACAATATATTTCAATTGCTCTTTCAGCTAAATTATTTTTTGCAAAGAAAAATTAAAAATAAATTACAATAATTAATACTGGTAATTTAAAAGTGAAGTAAGTAGAATGAAAAGTGAAATAGGAGGGGACATACTTCAGGTAGGATTTATTCTACGGTCTAATGCTATAATATACGTACAAATTTAAAGTGAGAAAAGATAAGCATATCTTAAAAAAGTTCTTGTAAACAATTGTAATGCAATGCAAGATCTGAAACGTTATGATCTCGCAGGTTATGTCTTTTCTTCTCTGTAATAAGCCAGATATTAAGAGTCTAACCCACTTAATTGCTTTGTGTTGCCGATAGAGCCTCTGGTTGCGTGAAGGCGCGCGAGTGATTTGTCTGTAATATTTTTTTGAAGCTATTGACGGTGACAAGTAGGAATAACTGAAACAGGAGGGCATAAGCAATTGTCTTTGTGTGTTTAATTCGTAAATGTACATTTGCGGTGAATATTTTGTCTTTGACCTGACACTTTGAAGAACTGAGGAAGAAAGAGAGAGAAGGGGAGGGAGAGGGAGGGAGTGAAATGGGCGATCGAATTGATGAAAATAAGAGAGGAGTGGAGGAATCCAGGACGATGTTGACTAAATTGTCATTTACTTATTTAGTGTAATGTCTATGGAAGTGGTACTGCGCAGATATTATGTGAACTATATAGTAGAGGGCGTAATGCGACAATACTGTCACATGATTCAACCATTTGCCATCCTACTGCTCAAGAACTTTAGCTTAGAAATGCTAAAATATTTCAGATAATAATGCCTTGGATTAGTGTTTTTGGAGTATACTTAGAAAGGGAATATATTGTAAGACGTTATTATATGAGTAAAATCGAATCTTTGTAGAACCAGAATTGCGATTTTAAAACTTCTGATAATAATTTTGTTTAATGAATCGTGGTGTTAAGAAAGCCAAATCTTCGATGTTGAAAGTCTGTTATGCTTGATTTTGTGATTTACTCTTGTGTCTGTTTTTCTATTTTTTGGTAAAGAAAGATTAAATACATTTTTAAAAAGTTTATATTCTCTTAGTGCGTCCGTTGCAAAGTTTAATTTTAATTTTGAACTGGAAATAAATAGGTACTCATAATGTGAGTATCAACGAATATTAGCTTTCGCAATGACATTTGTTATAATAATTTGTATTCCCTGTTGAAAATAATAGTTATTTTGTAACCCAGTGTATTAAACTCGTAACAATGCTGAAGTACTGGTTATCAAAGTCTTTATTGCAACAGTTAAGACGCTGCTTTGTTGGCAGTGAAACCATATTAAAAAATAAGTAGGATTTGTAGCATACAAATCAATTCTCAGAACATGAATCTGTAGATGTGGGTCTCTGAAAGAGTTGAAGCACTAAGTTGTAATTATAAATTAGCAAAATAGAACTTTATTCTGCTCCATAAGTTTGTAATTATTCATTCTAGTAGATGGTCTACATGCAGCATTTGACCTGAACCATAACATAACTCAGTGGTTCCCAACCTTTTGACGTACACATTGATAGTATTGTGTACGATTTTTGACAGTACAAGCATGCGAGGAGAACCTTTACATTGTTCAATGCTCTCTTGAGACAGAAACCTGGTAATGTGAACAACATTTTTCTTCAACTTTTGTTGAAGATTTTGATTGTTACTGCTAAAACTTTATACATTAAAGACTTCACGGGAAGAAACAAAGACGTGCTTGCTGATTTCATAAAAAAAATGAAATCTCTTGAGGCATCCTGCCCAATAAACGTCTAGCTGCCAATGCAAGTAAACAGTACTTCTGGCAGTTATCTGTAAATTGGAAGATAATGGCTGTGTAATTATTACTGGTTATTACAGTAGTTTGAGAATAACCGATATTTCGCTCATTAAACGATTAACAGAACAAATAGGGGAAGAAAAAAAGAAAAAGAGTAGTATACAGGTGGTTAAAAATAAATCTTAGAAAGTTATAAGCTCACACAGGGGTTGAAGATAACTTTTTGCCCATTAACATGTGGAAAATCTCTTATTACTAAGGTTCACATTAGACAATTTTGACATGGCGATGGTGAATAATACACAACGTAAACAGCAATGTTTCGCGCATAAACGGACTCCAGGGACAATAAACAGTTTGTAGATTTGATAGCTATCGTGTACTAACCGCGATGCCTGTTATGACTTAGTCAAGGTGAACAATAAACACAAAAATCTGCTATTGTAATTGCCGGCCGGCGAGAAGCCTCCTCAGGATGAGTTGCCTTCCCAGAAAAGCCGCCATGTCATCTCATTCTATGAGATTTTCCACCATACGTTTAATGCTCCCCCCCCTGCAAGCCCTTTTCTTGTAACATTCATTGTCAACCACCGTGTATATTAACTGCCATACGTAACCAATAAGAAGCGTTCGCACTAGAGTCTTAGAGTTCGGTTAGGAACCACTAGCGTCAGCGAATGGCCACATAACATAAGTTGGAAGTCGAGTGGATGCAAAACTTTTTTTTTATTTGTCGCCCGCGCCAGAGTACAGGCGCGCGCTCAGCCCAGGCGGATGAAGTTGCTGCCCTGGCGGTCGGCCGGGCCGCGCTTGGCCGGGGCGGCGGCGGCCGCGGCGGGCAGCAGGCCCAGCTCGGGCGCCAGCAGGTAGTTGGGCAGCCCCACCGCCAGCGGGGAGTAGTAGGTGAGCGGCGCGAGCGGCAGGTCGCCCAGCAGGGAGGCCGGGCGGCGCGGCGCGCACGCCGGCCGGGCGGACGCGCCGGCCGACCGCTTGGCGCGCTTGCCGTTGCCCAGGCGCAGGAAGTTGTCCACGTGGCCGGCGGTGCGCCCCACCTGCCCGAGAGGCACGAACACTCTGTTATTAAGGAAATGAAAAGGTTGTCCTGTCCCTTGAACAATGTCCGTAAAGGAAAGGTGTTGTACAGTATCGAAAGAATATTTTAACTTAAGATCTTTTCGATGGCTGGGGCGGTGCCCCGCTGGTGGGAAATACCTGGTACAATCTTACAATACAATTCTTGACAATGAACATTGGGTAGGGCATTTTACAAAAAGAAGTTACACATGTGAAAATTGCTTCCGATTGTTATGCATCTTATCATGAAGCAGTGGTTGGTGTAAATACTATAATTTTTTTTGTTTGAGACCTGCCGATCAGCAGGTCGGAGGAAGGAGTTGCCGAACAGTCAGAGAATAATTAAAGATATCACATTTGTAACTTACGTAAATTAAATTTCTCCCGATATGGTAAATGGTAAGAAGTGACAATGTAAATGCTCTCACTGTAAATGCTCTTCACGTTTGCAACATTTATTCGGACATATTTTGTTTCGGGAGTAATCGTAACATGGACAAAATTTAGTATTAACACCTACGGCTACGGCTTTTCAACCCATCCACGCACAAAACAGTAGCGGTAATGAGAAAGAAATGGTCAAATTGCTAAAACGCCTTTGTGGTTAATGTGGGTAGAAATCTTCAACATCAAACATTAGTATTTTAAAGTAAATATTAATATCAATTTTAACTCAAGAATATATATGTATTCTTTGAAGTGTGTAGACAAACTAAACGTACTAAATATGTCAGTATCAATTAATATCTGTCAGTGTGGGTTCTACTGTGCGAGAGTCGAAAGACGCCCATGTCCAATAAACTTCCATGACCTTTCTAAAATACGAAAAGCCTTAAATCAGTCAGGAGCACCTCAAATAGAAGTGAAGACGTTACTCTCATCATTACATTTGTATCAACAGAAGCTTTATTGAGAGCATGAGGATTAGTTGTTTGTCCACCTCTCTCTCCAGCCAACTTCTTTATATGTGCACAGCGACCAACGCATTAATTTCTTATCGCAGATACTATTTTTTACTCGTTTTATTAAATATTTTCTAAGTCGTCTTAAACTATCCTAAAACATATAAAACCTTTCAATATCACAATTTGAATCCGCCTAAAACTTGTTTATGAAATTTTAAACCTGTCTACGGCATTTTGAGCTCGTGTAAGACTTCTCAAACGCGTCTAACACATCTCAAATCTGACTAGGGTGTTTTCAACCCTTCTAAGGAATCTAAAATATATCTAACAACTGAGATATATGCAAACTATTTGGAACATGCTTAAGACATTTCAATCTCATCTAGGATATATCAAACCCTTCTAGTTTATTTCAAACTCGTTTAAGTTATTTCGAACTCGTCTAGGTTATTTCGAACTCGTCTAGGTTATTTCGAACTCGTCTAGGTTATTTCGAACTCGTCTAGATCTTTTCGAACTCGTCTAGGGCATTTCATTTCGACCCACGTCGACATCCACTGTTGTCGTTAGGCGTATCGTTCGAGGCGCGTGTCGTGCCGTACCTGCGAGCGCCCGGGGCGCGGGGGCGTGCCGCTGCGCTTGGCGGGCGCGGGCAGGAGCGCTCCGGCGGGGCCGGCGGCACCAGCGGAGGCGGAGCGTCCGAGGCGGATGAAGTTGAGGTCGGCCATCTTCCAGCGGCCGAAGAGGTTGCGCGTCCGCGCGGCGCGCCCTACGCGCTGCAGGTGTTCGTCCGCCGCCTCCGCGCCCTCTTCCGCCGCCCGCGCGCCCTCCGTCGACGCCTCCGACTCGGCCTCCGCCGCCGCCGCCACGGCAGCCGCCGACGCGGCCGCAGCCGCCGCCGCTTCCTCCTGAGCACGCCCATGTCGGGGTTAGTGTAACAAGTCCCCTGAATGTGTCCTTAACGACTATTAGAGAACGTATTCTATACATGTTCTTTGTTATTTCTAGTTATTCAAAATAAACGTTTAACCCTATCTTGAGTTAAGAATTGTTTAACCCATCTCGTTGAGTTTTATGTTAATATAATAAAGTAACGTATTGCCAAACAAAGTAGAGAATGTGGTACATGCCGAATGCTATTGAATTTTTTAATAAATGGTCTAACGTGTCAACCCTGAATCTCACTAAGCATCGCTGCTGAATCTGTTGTTCTATTGTCGAAGAGCTATAACCTCGAGGCTCTCCGAGAACTGCAACTGATATTTTAACAAAAGGTGTAAAGTGTGAACCCTGGGGAGCACCAAGCATCGTTGTCAAATCTATTATTCTAATGGCTCAGCGCTAGATTCGCTAAGCTCCCCAAGAACTGTTATCGAACATTTTAATAAAAGGTGTAATGTGTGAACCCTGGGGATCACCAAGCATCGCTGCCGAATCTGCTATTCTAGTGGCTCAGCGCCAGATCCTCCAAGTCGTTTGCATGCCAGACGGTGTGGGCTGACCTGGCCGAGGTGCGTGGGCGCCTGGCTGCCGTCGCGGTCGTCGTTGTCGTCGTCGCCGCTGCCGTCGTCGCCGCCTCTGCCGAAGCGCACGAAGTTGTCTGGGCGCCCGCGGCCGAAGCGCAGGAAGTTCCTGTCCCGGGCGAAGCGCAGCAGGCGCTCCAGCGACGGCTCTTCCTCCGCTCCCAGACCGTCCGCCTCCGCCTCCGCCTCCGAATCCGCCTCGCCGTCCTCCCGCGCCAGGCGCGCCGCCAGCGCTTCCTCCTCCAGCGACACCTGCGCCCACACACGCACCCTCGCAGCTCCTAGCATGTTCGTACCATCCACCACGGCGAAGTACCCTCCCCTCCGTATTCTTTTTTAAATAAAAATAAGTTTAAAATGTAAGGGCTTGTGAAAAAAAGAACTTTCGTGGGCATTGTTGTTCAAGAAGTTAAACGGTCAAACGGCCTTTTTATGCCATTGAAGTAAATTGTATGAGGAATCAGATGCTATTAAGTATAGCATAGATCACCGAGCATTCCGACGAGTAATTGATAAGCAACTATTGATAATTATATCGCAAACGGAAGTACTGGATCACGCCATAGGAACAAATGCATTGTTTCTCTTAAGATATAATTGAAAACCAAGCCAACTAACATTTTGTCTCGCACACACGCACACACATTTTGTTTCGGGGACGAGTACGGGGACGGGGACGGGGACGGGGGCGGGGCGTTGACGAGAAGGAGCGAGCGGCGCTGACGTACCTGTGCGTCGGGGTCAGGGCGGCCGAGGCGGAAGAAGTTGGATGCGGCGCGGTCG